GCGCGAGGAGGAGAAGGGGATGAAGAGAGGGGAGGACGAGGAAAAGAGGAGCAGGCGAGGCGGAGGAGTAAAGGAGAGGGTCAGAGGAGCAGAGGGGGAGGAGGAGGAGGAGGAGGAGGAGGAGGAGGAGGAGGAGGAGGAGGAGGAGGAGGAGGAGCAGGAGGAGCAGGAGGAGGGGTAGGAGGAATGCGAGAAAGAGGAGGAGGAGGAGAAGGAGGAGCAGGATGAGTTCGCCAGAATTCGCTGGTATTCATCATGCTGCAGCGAACCCACTGGGAGATTTATCCAGGCCAGCCGCCTCGGAGGTTCGCTTCCCGCCGGGAGGGGGAGGGATGGGGAGGTGGATCATTGACCAAACTGCCAGGCGGACGAGTCGTGGCTAAGCCGAGGAACGGACAATGGGGGACACTCAGTGCTTGGGGCGCACTGCAGCTCGCAGCCTGTTGCGGACTTTGCTGCAGGGGGGCCCGCACTGCCTGGCAGCCCCCCAAGAGCTTCGAGGTGCTGGCCTGGTACGCGCTGCGAGCACGTGCTGCTGCGTGCCGGTTGCGCATGTTGGGAGATGCACGTCTGCCGCTCGCGTTCCCTTGGCGTCGAGCACTGAGCCTTCTTGGAGATGCGCGGGGCTTGGGAACGGAAGCGGGGGCTCAGGAGGATGTTGGGCGGGCGGGCAGGTCGTTCTCGAGGCAGGCTTTTGGCGGCAGAAGTATGGCTTCCCTTGCGCAGGCCGCTCCGCCTAGTTGGGAAGGTCGCCGGGCGCAAGGAGAGCAGAGGGGAAAGCGGTGGAGCTGGGGAAAAGAGGGAGGGAAAAGGGCCTGGAGGAAGAGAGGGAAGGGGGGGGTAAGACGCGCCAGGCACGATCAGTCCTCCACGGCAATATTGTAGATGAGGCAGGTAATACAGTAGACCATGTCTGCCAGATGCACGCAGCGCGCGACTGCAAGGCGACCTCGTTGTTCTCGACGCCGTAGCGCACGACATTGTTCTGCACGGAGGGCGACATCTTGATGGAATTGTTCCAGTCGTCTTCCGTGTCCTGAAGTGGCACCCTATGGCCAGCACGAGCGCGATGGCAAACCGCAAGACTGCGCAGTTGTGCGAGGAATTGTAGGTGCTACGGATGCCTCGGCCATATCTCTACAGGCCTTCCGCCACTTCGCCCTGTCGGCGACGAGTGCCATGCAGCGGACAGAGCCGCATCGACGCTCTAACTGGTGTGGTGAGAGCTCTTTTGACCGTGGTGCCTTTCCGCAGCGCGCCCTTGCTCATCACCTGCACTTTCCCATCATTTGGAGTGACGCCTCACACGAAATGTTCACAGGAACAATCCCACAACGAGCTGCATGGGCCACAGCAACTACCATTGCCACAGGAAGCCCATCAGGTAGATCATGTGCTCTGGTTGCTCCCACCCCATGCGGTAGCGGTCGGCGGAAAGCTGCTCGACATGATCGCATAGGGCGCAGATGTCATGCCTCTGCACGAGCCTGTGCATGCAATACCCCGTGCCGTATGTGTCGGGCATCATTCGAAACATGTCGATGGGCACTTGCTGCCACGCACATGCTGCCCCATAGTATTGAGATAAGATGGATGGCCCCCCAGTTGGCACAGACACCGACGTCTTCCCCGAAGCTGGGTCAAAAGGTAGACGGCCCGCAATTGGTACGGACGTCTCTGTTTTGCCCCTAAGTCTCTAATCCTATAATTATTAAGCCCTAATTGACCATCCGTATCTTGTACCCAGCCCCCGTTTGCGACCCGGTTATGTAAACCGGCTCCATCTATTGTAAAAAATAGCATGTCCTGCGCATGCGCGCAGCATCTCCTGTATTTTACACTACAAAGTGCCCCGTCCCCGTGGCGACCCCGCTCCATCCACTGCAAAAAATAGCATTTCCTGCCCCGTCCCCGTGGCGACCCCGCTCAATCTATTGCAAAAGTAGCATTTGCTGAGCATGCGTGCAGAATCTCGTGTATTTTACAATACCAAGTGCGACCCCGTTGTGTTCACCGGCTCCATGTCTTGCAACAATAACATTTGCTGAGCATGCGTGCTGAATCTTCTTTCTCTCTTTTACATTACACAGTGCCCAGGCCCCGTTGCAACCCGAGCCATCTATTCCACAACGTCGCATTTGCTGCGCATGCGTGCAGAATCTCCCCCGCCCGACCCGACTCTTCCCGCCCGTTGGAGCATTCGCGTGCCAACTGGATCGCACATCACTCGCCTCGTCGTCGTCGTCGTTGTCGTCGACGTGGTTCTACCGAGGGGAGAGATGATCTTTATGGTGAGGTGGCTTGCGGGTGGGAGTGACGGCCACCGCAGGTGGGTTCGCGGTCGCGGTGTACTCGTGGCCACGCCTAGTAGACCCTCAACCCTAAACCATAAACATCTCTATGTTGACCCGGAGATGGAGTAAAGGGTTGACGCCGCGCGAGCGGCACCGACAGGAACACGGGCAAGCACGACGACCGGATTCACATTCATCCCCAGGAGCGGGGGAAAAGGTTGAGGTCAGCTGTGAGCGTTTATTTTGGCCCTGGCCAGTTCCCAGGCAGTGGCGAAGCGTCCTGGCTCGCCTATAGGCATACCAAAGAATGTTATAACAACTTTTAGTGGTCTGCACGTAGTCTTCTTAGAACATGCCTGGCCGGGACTGTCATGTTTTTATTACATCGGACTTACGTTCAAAGACCAATGTTTTCGTTATTTGAACATTATTGGGTTCTAAGAACATGTCGTGGTAGGCCTACAGTGGTGCCGGGACGGTCGGTCCCTGCTCAAATTTGGTTTGTCCACCAAAATGTTGGCCGTCTTCTTGTAGGCCACCGTGCAGAAGTAGTGTAACGGTCTGGCCCAGCCAGCTGCAAAAAACACGAGCCTCTGCGACCGATGGCGTTTGGCATGCACGGAACAATCCTGGATGGGAGGCGTTGCAAAGGAAACGTGGAAGAATTGGCAAGCGCACACAATTAGTAAGGCACGTTGGGGTGGGAAGCGAACCAGAGTCGGTTGTGGATGCCTCCCGTCCCCCCTCCCCCTACTAGGGGGGATGGGGAGGACACAATCCCCCTGAGCTCGAGAGAAAACGAAACCTCTCATTGACAATCCCTGGCTTCCGCTAGCAACCGCTCGCAACCGCCGACTGCCAACAAGCAGCCCTCGGTGGTCAGCGGCCCGCCCTCGAAAGGAGGAGGAGGGGGAGGAGGAGGATGAGGAGGAGCAGGAGGAGGAGGAGGAGGAGGAGGAGGAGGAGGAGGAGGAGGAGGAGGAGGAGAGGGAGAGGGAGAGGGAGAGGGAGGAGGGTTTGGGGCGGGAGCGGCCTAGAAGGCAGGCGGGACCGGGCCGCATCAAAGACGAGCCCGATCGGGGGTGGGCAGAACCCCCACCCAGACACGTCGATTCGTGCACTGTCCGCTCTCGGTTCTCATGATGGCGCCGCGGCCGCCGTCTGTCCAGGCTTGCGTGTCCGCCAGATTCGGGCCCGAGGCCGTCTTCACGGAACCACGTCTTGCGAAAGAGGCGCGGGGCCCCGACCTCCCGACCGTTTCCCCGGGACCGCTTCTCCATCCCGATTCGTTCTTTGACGGCTTCGGCCCGGCGACGGCCCCGAGAGGCCAGAAGTTGCGAAAGACCTCCGTCTCGATTTTTGTTCGAGACGCCCGATGTCCGGGTCCCCGACCCGATCTCCCCCCAGATCACCCCGAAAGATTCGGGCGGCCCCCGCCTCGGCGGGTCGTCGTGATGAAAAGGCGTGCCGTCCTCTGCGCCCGCCTCGGCTCCTGTACCACGAGGCCTCCTCTCCGGGTCGGCCACGCAGATATCCGCTCCTGGAGCTGCTAGACTTACGTCGGGCGTGTCCCTCTACAGGAGGAGTAGCCAAATCTAGTCGAAAAACACCGCCTTGGGACGATATGTTACTGTTTTATGTCTGAGCATTTTCTGTGTTCTTATTATGGTTGGTGTTATTATTTGTTCTAATATAATGAGTTTCATTATTACCATTGGTATTATTATGTTTATTTCTTTATAGCTTTTATGTGTCCAACATTCCCCTGTATGAGGACGTGCCCGACCTAATGCTTGACCCGCTCCAGCAAGTCCAGCTGGCACGGGTCTGACCCGCTGAAGTACTCGGCTAGCTTGCACTAGACATGCCCGTCGACGGACAGTCGAGAATATGATCAAGAAACTCCCCCCCAAAAAGCTGGGCCAGCGTTTCTTAGCCAAATTCCCGGAAAGCTGGCCCAGTCTCCTGAGCACGTTCGCCCCCCTCCAGCGTTCACAACAGATGTTGGCCCAGGCTTATTTGAAGACATTGCTTGTACCCTGGCCCAATTATAAGTTTCGTTGACCAGGTTTTCGGCCGGCTCTTGAGGCGGCTGTCCCGATCTCCCATTGCACGGAGAAGAGTGCTCACAATCCCCTTCAGCGTGTCCACGTCATCATCCATCTGCTGCAGCCTCGTCTCCGTAACTCTGGAGGCCTTGCATTCGTTCTCGAAGCGCCGCTGCAGCTCCATCAGCTCGTCGTTCACACAAGGCTGTGCCTCCTGCTCCTGCGGTTTCGGTGCTGCAGTACCTACCCCAACCGCGTTGTCATCCAAGGCCCAATCGCTTTGCTCTACACCGCGCACTACCTGCTCTAGCCCAGCCACGCGCTGCTCTAACTTGGTCATGTAGTCGACCCTCCATCCGAGGTCGCTGCAGCTGATGGTGCCGATAGGCTGAACGAACGTCTTGGAGAGCATCTTGGCCTCGATCGGGCAACTGCTAGCCTCCAGGTACTCGATGCGCCTGCCCAGCTCGCCCACCTCGATCTTGAGCTGCTCCACCGCGTTCACCAGGTCGAAGGTGCCTTCAAGGTCGAAAGGCGCGCCTGCGGCTCCAGACCGGACCGGCATGCCGACCTCGTTCTCGAAGACGTTGTTGGGAGCCTCCTCCGTGGGCCTCTCCGCTGACACGACTTGGACTCCATCCTGGACCTGCCCCTGCGT